GTGGTTGGGATTAAAAGTGCAACTGTACTCTTACTGAAAGACAGAAAATAGAAAGTCATGTGGTTTTCCGGGGAAAATGTCCATCCATCCAACAGCTGAAGCAAGAATAAAGAGATAATAATACATCCCGCCTTGAAAGTGACACTTATATTCTTCTTCTTGGTGCTGTTGTAGACAGGTGAGTGCAGGCCCAGGCCCAGGCCAAACAGGCTGCCTGTGTTACGCAGGAGGCTGGCGAAGGGTGTGGTGTCCAGGTGGACCCACTCAGGCTTCACACACCACTTCTGGGCTTTCTCCAGGGTCCACAGCAGGTCCACACTGAGAGCTTTGAGCAGGAGGTAGAAGCTGACAGCGAAGGAGGTCAAGAAGAAGGTCATGAAGAAGTATTTGTTCATGCTGGCCTTATAGATCCATTTCTTTTTGGAGACAACCTGAGCAACAATTAGACCTGACACAAAAACAGAGAAGAGGGTTTATGAAGTTTGGTGGGCCAGTAGAGCCACTGTAGACACTGGTAGGTGATGTTTTTTCCCATGTACCACTCAGCAATACCAAATCATCCAACAAACTCACAGTGGAGGAATTCTTTATTTAGGCGCAATTTGCAATACCACTGTAAAAATACTCAGGAACAACTAGTCCTGTATTCAAAATCCTGACAAATAGAAGTGCTTGTTGGGAAGACTGGTCTCTTTCAGCTTGATTTTCTATTTATCATATGACTGGAGTATTATTACTAATGCTTTAGCACCATTTACAGCTGATGAAGCTAAATGATCTATAGCACTGCATCATCATTTATCAATTTTACGGTTTTTGTTAAATAATCTCTAAGGTAGTTGTCAGATAATTGCAGTGAGGTAAAAAGCACATTAGTTCACTCTGAAATATAACAGATTTGAGGCATAAAATTGAGATACTCAAGTAAAAGTAACTAAAAACCTAACTACTGCTAATTACAGTACTTGAGTCTGAAAATTCAAAACTGTTTCTGATGTTATCTGTAAGGAGATCAAATAGCCCCTAAATGTCCACAAAATCAGCCTTTTATTATTATACAGAGCATTCAGATAACAGTCTGTAATTACGCAGGTAGACAGACCTGTGATGGCTCCAGCAATAACTTGGTGTGGGAAGTGGGCGGCCATGTAGACCCTGGACATACAGACCACCAGCTCTACCAGGCCCATCAGCATCCACAGGCCTATCTGCAAGAATCTGACAGTGAAAAGGGACTGTGAATGCACAGCACCCCAAAAGAGTCAAAAGTAATTTTTCAAAGAAATGAATGTATTACCACAGGCTCACCTGTACAGCAAAGGGGGGCATTGCTTCTCTGTTGCAACAGAGAGCAGCGCTGTTATCATCACATACCAGACCCCAGCTGCACCCATCGCGTGGCCTGATGGGCTTCCTGCAAGGAACAGCCTCAGGCTTATTCTCAGATTGATCTTCAGTAAATGTCAGATAATTCACTGATTTGTTGTTGTTACCGTTTCCTATTTTAGAGTGAACATTGTTGGACCAGATTTATTCAAACCTCAGGAGAACAATAACTTATCTAAATGTCAATGTGTATTCATAGATATTAACCTTGCACAGCTCTCTGAAAGTGTTTTTTAAAAACTTTTTTCTAATTCTAACCTAAAATCACATTAACAATAATGACAAAGTCAAGCCAAAAGCACCTTGTTTTAACATGAGACCAAAGATTAAATGTTTGAAAATGTTTCTGGCACCTGCAAATGCTCTGTAACCAAAGACATACACATTGGTGGATGAAATTAAAGTTAAAGTACAGTAGAAACACAAGTAAAAGGCGTATAATGATAATGTTACTTACATGTAAATAAAAGTATGAGAGCATGATCAGAAAAATACACTTAAAGTATGGTCTTTTTGAGTATCATTATAAATTATACCGTTAAATCATTACTAATACAACAATGCATTAGCAGCATTTCACTGTTGCATTTGGTTGAGGTGGAGCTATTTCACAAGGATGCAACTAATTACTGTATTATTACTATGGATTAATCTTCTAGTTACTATCTATTTAATTGATTGATTGGTTTGTATAACTCCAGAAATCACATTGCTCAAAAAATGAAGGGAACCCTTAAAATCACACATTGGATCTTGATGAATGAATTATTCAAGTTGAAATCTTTTACTAAAGTACATTATATAATTTGCTCAGAACAAAATGACATAACAACGGTCAATGGAAACCAAAATCATCAGTCCATGCAGGCCTGGATTAGTGAAAAATTGAAGTCACAGGCTCATCCATGTTGCATGCATTTCATTACAGCAACTCATACTGTGTTTGGCCCCCATTTGTCTGTATGCACTCCCGACAACGTCTGGGCATGCTCCTGATGAGTCGGCGGAGGGTGTTCTGGGAAGTCTCCTCCCAGACCTGGGTCAGAACATCAGTGAGCTCCTGAACAGTCTGTTGTGGTACTTGGTGGTGTCAAATGCATGATGCATAATGTCTCATAGGAGCTCAGTTGGATTTAGGTCAAGGGAAGATGAAGGCTGGTCAGTGGCATCAAGGCCTTTGTCATCCAGGAACTGCCTACACACACTGGCAACATGAGGCCAGATGTTGTCCTGCACCAGGAAGAACTCAGGGCCCACTGCACCAGCATAAGGTCTGACAGTCACTCTAAGGATTTCATCCTAGTACCTCACAGCAGTCATGGAGCCGTTGGCTATGACATGGAGGTCTGTGCGGCCCCCCCAGTGATATGCCTCCCCAGACCATCACTGACCCAGTTTGGTCAGACAGATGCACATCTGTAGCTGCTGGAGGTCATGGTACAGGGCTCTCCCAGTGCTCCTCCTGTTGCTCCTTGCACAAAGGAGCAGATATCGGTCCTGCTGCTGGGTTGATGTCCAGCTCTCTTGGTGGAACGGCCACCACATGCAAAACCATTCCCTTTCTGGGGGTTGCCTTGCTTTTGCCTCTCCATTGCACTTTTTTTAACTTTCATTTGCACCAAAGCAGGTGAAACTGATTCACAATCACTTGAGCTCTCCCTGAAGTTTAAATGGCTTGGTGTTTTACTGTGATGATTAAGTGTTCCCGAATTTTTACAGTGTTGTAAGAAATGCCGATCACAGTCACACAGAGTTCAAAGTCACACCTTCAAATTGGAAAAAGAAGAGAAGAAGCTAAAATTATTTATCGCAAGTAAAAATAAGAAACTTTAATAAGCTGGAACCAGGAACTGTTGACTCAAACAAGTTATCAAAATAGTCGCCGTAATAGTCAGTTGACAAAATAATTAATCAACTAATTGTTCCAGGTTTAATTGTATTCACTCTTAGTTTAATATCTAACAAAGCATCATATTTTGTTTGCTCTTCATATCTATGCAAAATCTAAATTTTTAAAGCAACTATAGCAGTCAAATAAATGTAGTTGTGTAAAAAGTATAGTGGTTCCACCTGAACTGTAGCAGAAGTGTAAAGTGGCATGAAAAGAAAAAGGGAGCAAATGCAGTCACTAACCAACTGATCAAAAGGAAGCATAAAATTATTTAAACTCCAAATTCTCTGCAAAGATTAACAAATAAAATACTACAAATGGTCAAAGGTTCTGGAGTTTATGACCAATTTATCACATTTAAGATTCATTCACTCCACACACTCTATGGTAATGATGTGTGTAAGAACCAGGTTCACTGCAGCACAAATATCTTACCATTCTGCTGTAAGAGACACAATTAGTTCTGTCATGAACTGTACCTGGTCCAGTCTCACATGTGATGGGGAACTGCTGCAGGACAGGGGCTGGACCTGCTCCATAAAACCGGGTCTCATGAACCCACCAGTACGGTCTCTCCCCACAAAGAACCCTGCCATGGAGGAACCAAGAAACTCAAACTACAGACTCTCTTTCTCTTTATGTGAACATCACTAGTACATTTGTTACCATTTCAGAACCAAGTTGAGCCAGTCTCCAATGACAGCCACCCAGATGAGCCTGAGCGCCGTGTCCCTTCGCAGGTGGAACCAGATTGGAAACAACCAGAAGAAGGTGGTGTGCAGATCGGCCACAGTGGACGCCAGGCTAAACAGACCCTCATACCTGCTGTACCTGGTCTGCAGGTAGACCGCTAGCTCGACGCCCCAGCTGTGGAGAAGATCCATGATATCACGACCCGAGGATGATGCACTGACTATGGGGTCTTTGGTCTTCTTTGCAGGGTACTTTGCTGCTAAGCTCTTTCGGGCAGCCCCCTCTGTTCTGACACTGTATGATCCCCATTGGACTTTACTCAAGGCTACCAAATTTGTTTGCCTTTTAGACAGTGCAGACAGGTTCCTTAACCTTTACACCACTGAGGCCCCCGCTGCTAAAACCCCTCACTACCAAACCCAGCTACCACCGCCTGACGTATCACAGATTCCTGGGAAAACCTGTGTTTTCCTTTGATCAGTGACAAAACAGCAGCTTCTGTTCTCAGTATGAGCCAGCTGCTTGTGAAATCTATTGATCTTGGCTCACATGGATAGTGTAGAGTGCGTCATTGTTTATTCCAACTTAAGCTTGGGACCCCAGTGTGAGATATGATGCTTATGATATAAACATGTACCAAGACAAAATATGAGCTCATCTGCAGGGGCTTCACTGCTGAATGTATTAACAGAGCAGCAGCTTGTTTTCCACCTACAACCTGCCAATCAGCTTTTTCTCTTTTATCACTGACTGCCTATCTCTGTTTCTACTCAGTCCAAACCCAGTCATTTAATCATTGATCGCCTTATGTAAGCTATATATATGTTTTCACCAAATCATCAAAAAAAACGAATTATATAACAGAGAAATCATTATTTAGATGTTATAAAAAATAGGAACCAGCATGGAAAAAAATAACCTTAGTTATTTTTAACTAAGGAACAAGGAGGATATTCGAAAAAATTTATAGGACATAGCTGATATTTAAAAACATTCTGCAGTACAGTGAAAAGCAAATATTGCTCTGCCAACTGTTGGTTTGAGTGTGATTGGTTTAATCTAGGTCACAAGCCGCCCGTCAGCTGACTTCCTCTCTCTGAGTTATGTACAGTACTTCACAGATAAACACAACAATTGACGTTCTGTTTTCCTACTATCTTTTCCATTTGTTTGTGTGACCTCCCACACTCTGGACACTCAGTGTTTTATTATACATGTGCAAGGTCCAAAGATCAGCGTGTGCATGCGTTTGGGTAGTGGGCCCCCAGTATAAAGCCAACACAGTGTCACTGATAACAGCAGTTATTTTCACACTTCACCACACTGAGATTTCTCCGTCTCGAGGTTAAAATGCTTGATGCCTTAATGGATGCCGTGCATGGTTTTGGGGTGAGCACCACCCATTACCTGCAGACCAACTATCAGGACACCCAGGGCTTGTTTCTCTGGGTGTCCTGGGCGGCAGACCTCAGGAACACCTTCTTCATCTTCTTCCCGCTGTGGTTTCACCTGCAGGCATCAGTGGGCATCAAGCTCATCTGGGTGGCCGTGATTGGAGACTGGCTGAATTTGGTCTTTAAATGGTGAGCAGAGCAAACCTTTGGATTTGTGAACAAAATTGTGTGAAATCACATTCTTCCCATTGTTTTTAGATGATAACAGAGTGCATGTTTCTGTGGTGTTCTTCAGGATTCTGTTTGGGGAGCGGCCCTACTGGTGGGTCCACGAGACAGCCCATTACGCTAACACTGTCCCTCCTCACATTGAGCAGTACCCCATGACCTGTGAGACTGGCCCAGGTGAGAAATGTCACTATACATGTGTGGCTTGGTGTAAGAAATGGACCCTTATTAGCCCCCAGTCATTTCCACTTTCTGTGCACTTGTAAAGTTACACCTATAATGCATGACCTCAGTTTTTCTGTGTGGTAACTTAAATAAACAGAAATATTTAAGTATGTAATTTTATTTAAGCTCAATTTGAGCTGCAGGACACGTCTTAGCCTCAACATATTGTGCTTTAGTAGTGCACATACCCAAATAAAGCCACAATTAATTAAATTACCAAACAACAAACTAGTTGCTAATTCTCTGAACCTGAAGCTTTTTGGCATCTCACTGCTGTGCTCTGTTTCTAATTCAGCCTCTAATCATGCACAGGATTTTCTGTAATTAATGGTGGAAGAAGTATTCAAAACCCTAAGTAAAATTACTAGCACAACAATGGAAAAAACACTATGTTAGAGTAAAACTCCTGCATTCAGAAGTTTACTTGAGTAAATTTACATCACCAAAATGAACTTAAAGTATGCAGTATGACTTGTTAGAATAACTAGCATCTAACTCTTGTAGCTGATGCAGGTGCAGCTGCTTTTAGCTACTGGACCAACTGCTTGCACTATCTGTAACAGTAGTAACATAACAATGAACTGAACATTTGGTCTGCATTCCTTCAGTCACACTTTTAAGCTAAAATGAATGCTAGCAATGCTTTTCTATGGTCTGAGACCCAGGGACCATCATTCTGAATAATAAGTAACCTAAGGACCACTGTTGTGGGGCGGTGCCGTTTTATTCCTGAAAGCACCTGGGTTTTTATAAATTTTATGTATTTGCAAGGATTTGTATTTTTAAACAAGGAGTAATATATGTATATATGTTTTAAAAAAAGACTCCTACAGTAAAACTACTTTATTGAATGCATGGTCAGGGACCACTAGTTGAAACCCCATGGTCTAAGATGAAGTTCTAGTGAAGGGAATCAGATACTGATGTCAACCCTCTGTGTTTGTGTCCAGGCAGCCCCTCTGGCCACGCCATGGGAGCTGCAGGTGTCTACTACACCCTGGTGACCTCCATCCTCACCATCATGACCAGCAGCAAGAAACATGGAAGCAAAAAGTCCACCAACAAAGAGTGGTGAGTCTGAAAGCTCGTGTCAGTCTGACAAACCAACCCACATGTCAGTGTTCTTTACCACTGTCTTCCACTCAGAGCTTATCATTAGGGACATAGTGTCTGTGCTGTGCTGTGCTGTGCTGTGGTTGATCATTGACTTCTGACAGCTATTGGTTGGAAAGAGGGTGTTGTGTTTGGGGGTTGTTTTGACGTCCTGGCAGCTGAAGTTCTCATGACAAGCAAAGAAAAAGACTGACTTGCTTGTTCAGGGACAGTGAGGAACAGACTGATCAAGCATGCTCAGTGAATTCTCCTGTTTGCACAACAGAATGTGTAACTCCCCTGAATTTGTGTTGTGGCAGGTATCTGCAGGCTGCTCTCTGGACAATATTTTGGGGAGTCCAGGTGTGTGTTTGTCTCTCCAGGGTCTTCATCGCTGCACACTTCCCCCACCAGGTCATTGCTGGTGTTATCACAGGTCAGTATGGACATTACTTCAGTGGAGTTATAGGCTAAAAACAATTGTCAACCTTATGCTATGCTAATCTGATATACTTTTAGTTTCCTTTATTGATACCAAGTTACTTAAAGCCCTGTTGTGTTATTTCTGAGCTAGCGCTATTAACTGTAAACTGAAACAGAGAGTCAGAGTAGTCGGCACTGCCATTTTTTCAGTCCTGGCTAGTGTCAGCAGGTTCATTTCAGCATGAGATAGCATTAGCTGGTGAAGCCTGTACGTAGCCTGAGAGAGGCTTCTTGCATTTGGACCCTGGTGGCTGGGGAGCACATACTGACATGGCCTTTTCAATGTTTCATCTGTAGGTATGATCGTAGCTGAAGCCTTCAACAGAACTCAGTGGATCTACAGCGCAAGCATGAAGAAATACTTCTACACCGTCTTCTTCTTGACCTCCTTCGCTGTCTGCTTCTACCTCCTGCTCAAAGCTCTCAGTGTGGACCTGCTGTGGACCCTGGAGAAAGCCCAGAAGTGGTGCATCAGGCCTGAGTGGGTCCACCTGGACACCACGCCCTTTGCCAGCCTCCTGCGTAACATGGGCACCCTGTTTGGCCTGGGCCTGGGCCTGCACTCACCCCTCTACACAGACACTAAGAAGAACAGCAGCGTGTTGGTGAAAGCAGGGTGCATCGTCAGCTCTCTGCTCCTGCTGCACCTGTTCGACTCCTTCAAGCCTCCCACGCACACAGCAGCCCTCTTCTACCTGCTGTCCTTCTGTAAGAGTGCCACCGTACCTCTGGTCACTGTCAGCATCATCCCGTACTGTGTGAACGGAGCTCTGAGCCTGCAGAACAAAAAAGGATCATTATAAAGACAAATGAAATGGAAGCGCAGAGTCTCTTCCAGATCAAAATAAACTCCTCTGGTGCATTTCGCATCTGCAGGTCCAACTGATCTTCTGGAAAAGCAGAAGAGAACAATGAATACTTGTCACTTGTGTCATTTGGATGCTGAATTCTGTGGGCTCCGTGTGACACTATGCGAAAGTACTGTCCAGGATCCCCTGTGTGCTCGCAAAGACCTAGTCTGAATTCAGCAAAATGTAATAATGACAGTTGTCCTGGAAAAGAACACTGAACACGAGGTTAGCAAGTGAATGTTTGCTTGCACTGGCAGTGTTAACCCTCACTTTATACAACAATGGTCGCTCACAACTTAGATGTGTTATTTTACCTGTAATAGTACCATATTTTTTAAATGTTATAGAGAGTATTGTTGAAACTGTTTAGGATATTTTTTATTAAAATCATGTATAAAATGTCCTGTTCATGCTTCACTTACACCACAACTACACTGATTATTTAGCCATTAATTAGTATTTACAGCCTTCACTCCCCAGAGGTGGAAGAACTACTTGGATCTTTTACTTGAATAACTACAACCATAAAAGTAAAAATACTTAATCACAAATAAAAGTTTTGTATTCAAATTTAACTCAGCTAAAGGAAGACATATTACTGTATATCAGTATCAACGGTGAAGGTACGCACCCCTGTGAGATTACTGTGTAACTAACCACTTGTTGGAGAGTGTAATTATAACAGTGCATCATTTTTTAAACTGATCATATGCATCAAAAGTCTTGACCTTCAAAATAGCAAGTAACTCTCTAGAAGTACTGTAGTAGAAGTTTAAAGTAGTGGAAATACCTGAAAACAATACATAAGTAAACCTGCTTCCCCACCACCACCACTGCTGCATACATTTGATAACTCACTAGTACTAGTTAATTTGAGATAGTTAACTAATAATTATGTTTTATTATTACCGGTTAAGATAAGATAAAATTTTTATTGATCCCAGGGGAGCTCCCAAACTATCCAGAGGTAATTAAAGTAAATTAACCCCACCTTGACCACATGGAGCATTAAAGAGATGTTCACATTGATGCACATGTATATACAGTATTATATATATAATATATATTATTCTGAAATGGTTCATTCTACAAAGCTTTTACTTGTGGAATTGTTAAGTATATTTTGATGTAAATACTTTTGTTCTATAACAATTGATTTTACTTGTTATAGTGTATTTCCACACTGAGGTATCGTTACTGTGACTGAAAAGACTGTGCTGGTAGGGAAACAAAAGTGATCGCACTAATTTTGTCTTGGTGAACACACACACACACACACACTCATGTATCCCTAGAAATTCCATGTTCCATTCTGGCTGTTATATAACTTCACAAGATAAAGATAGCACTTTGGCAAAGCTGGAGTGAGCTATAAATGATTAACACAGCCTTTAGCCTGGCTCGGAGTGATGACACAGTCCTACACGTCATTGTCTCCGTGTCAGTCACTGCACACAAGGTCAACAGTGCACATTCAATATTTGTCTGTCTGTGTTTTGCAGACTCCCTGATGCAGAGATATGGGAAATGCACGTGTGTCGCTGCTGTTACTGTTAAAATGCAAAAGGTATCCGTTTATGAAACTACATGTGCTAAGATGCTGACAGAACTTTCCTGCATTTTTTTATTTTTTACAGGATTTTCCTTTCATTTGTTACTCACCTGTATGTTCTTGCAAAATAACATACCACTCAATAACCTGTAAGGATATTTTTTATAAGGACATACGATATGGCAGGTGTCAGTAGGTTATGGTGAGTATGTACTGTATTTATGTACAGTCGAGGTACCTGTACTTTATGTGTTTTCATTTTCTGGTACTTCATAGTTCAACTTTACTACATTTTAGAGACAAATATTGTACTTGTTACAGCACCAAAAGTACTGGACAACTTCAGTTACTTTTCAGATTCAGATACGGTGGTGGAAGAAGTACTCGGATTGTACTCGGTAAAAGTAGCAATACCACAGTGTAAAAATACAATAAAAGTCTTGCATTTAAAATGTTACTTATGTATAAGTACAAAAGTATTTGCAGAAATAAACTTAAAAGTACCAAAAGTAAAAGTACTCATGCAAAATGGCACAGTTTTCATTGATGTACATCACAATATTCAGTTATAATTAATGATGCATTATTATGTGCATCCTATTTAATGTTGCAGCTGGTAAAGGTGGAGCTAATGTTAACTACCTTTTATGCTTATAATGTGAATTACTGCTGGGTAGTGAATTTTACACCAAGGGTCAAGAAATCTTGTGATTATACTCTATGTTATTAACCTCTTTCTGAAAAGTAACTAAAAGTTACCAAAATAAATGTAGTGAGCACAAAATAAAGTATTTTCTCTGAAATGTAGTGAAGTCAAAGTAGGAGAAGAGGTTTACTCAAGTACAGATACCTCAAAATTGTACTTAAGTACAGTACTTGAGTGAATGTACTTAGTTACTTTCCACCTCTGATCAAATATTACACAAAACACAGCCTGTTCTATTCATTAGACTTTATTGAACCCAGGTGAGAAATTCACAAGCTGCCCAGTGGTATGTAAAGTACTTCAGATTGTATTTAAGACAGTTAACACTGATTCAACCTTTAGCAGCTGCAACATTAAAGTAGTGAACACAATAATGCATCAGTAATTACACTCTAATAATATAATACACAACGTGAACTGTGCCATTCAGCGTGACTGATTATTTAGCCATTAATTAGTATTTACAGCCTTCACTCCCCAGAGGTGGAAGAACTACTTGGATCTTTTACTTGAATAACTACAACCATAAAAGTAAAAATACTTAATCACAAATAAAAGTTTTGTATTCAAATTTAACTCAGCTAAAGGAAGACATATTACTGTATATCAGTATCAACGGTGAAGGTACGCACCCCTGTGAGATTACTGTGTAACTAACCACTTGTTGGAGAGTGTAATTATAACAGTGCATCATTTTTTAAACTGATCATATGCATCAAAAGTCTTGACCTTCAAAATAGCAAGTAACTCTCTAGAAGTACTGTAGTAGAAGTTTAAAGTAGTGGAAATACCTGAAAACAATACATAAGTAAACCTGCTTCCCCACCACCACCACTGCTGCATACATTTGATAACTCACTAGTACTAGTTAATTTGAGATAGTTAACTAATAATTATGTTTTATTATTACCGGTTAAGATAAGATAAAATTTTTATTGATCCCAGGGGAGCTCCCAAACTATCCAGAGGTAATTAAAGTAAATTAACCCCACCTTGACCACATGGAGCATTAAAGAGATGTTCACATTGATGCACATGTATATACAGTATTATATATATAATATATATTATTCTGAAATGGTTCATTCTACAAAGCTTTTACTTGTGGAATTGTTAAGTATATTTTGATGTAAATACTTTTGTTCTATAACAATTGATTTTACTTGTTATAGTGTATTTCCACACTGAGGTATCGTTACTGTGACTGAAAAGACTGTGCTGGTAGGGAAACAAAAGTGATCGCACTAATTTTGTCTTGGTGAACACACACACACACACACACACTCATGTATCCCTAGAAATTCCATGTTCCATTCTGGCTGTTATATAACTTCACAAGATAAAGATAGCACTTTGGCAAAGCTGGAGTGAGCTATAAATGATTAACACAGCCTTTAGCCTGGCTCGGAGTGATGACACAGTCCTACACGTCATTGTCTCCGTGTCAGTCACTGCACACAAGGTCAACAGTGCACATTCAATATTTGTCTGTCTGTGTTTTGCAGACTCCCTGATGCAGAGATATAGGAAATGCACGTGTGTCGCTGCTGTTACTGTTAAAATGCAAAAGGTATCCGTTTATGAAACTACATGTGCTAAGATGCTGACAGAACTTTCCTGCATTTTTTTATTTTTTACAGGATTTTCCTTTCATTTGTTACTCACCTGTATGTTCTTGCAAAATAACATACCACTCAATAACCTGTAAGGATATTTTTTATAAGGACATACGATATGGCAGGTGTCAGTAGGTTATGGTGAGTATGTACTGTATTTATGTACAGTCGAGGTACCTGTACTTTATGTGTTTTCATTTTCTGGTACTTCATAGTTCAACTTTACTACATTTTAGAGACAAATATTGTACTTGTTACAGCACCAAAAGTACTGGACAACTTCAGTTACTTTTCAGATTCAGATACGGTGGTGGAAGAAGTACTCGGATTGTACTCGGTAAAAGTAGCAATACCACAGTGTAAAAATACAATAAAAGTCTTGCATTTAAAATGTTACTTATGTATAAGTACAAAAGTATTTGCAGAAATAAACTTAAAAGTACCAAAAGTAAAAGTACTCATGCAAAATGGCACAGTTTTCATTGATGTACATCACAATATTCAGTTATAATTAATGATGCATTATTATGTGCATCCTATTTAATGTTGCAGCTGGTAAAGGTGGAGCTAATGTTAACTACCTTTTATGCTTATAATGTGAATTACTGCTGGGTAGTGAATTTTACACCAAGGGTCAAGAAATCTTGTTATTGTTATTGTCTTGTTATTAACCTCTTTCTGAAAAGTAACTAAAAGTTACCAAAATAAATGTAGTGAGCACAAAATAAAGTATTTTTCTCTGAAATGTAGTGAAGTCAAAGTAGGAGAAGAGGTTTACTCAAGTACAGATACCTCAAAATTGTACTTAAGTACAGTACTTGAGTGAATGTACTTAGTTACTTTCCACCTCTGATCAAATATTACACAAAACACAGCCTGTTCTATTCATTAGACTTTATTGAACCCAGGTGAGAAATTCACAAGCTGCCCAGTGGTATGTAAAGTACTTCAGATTGTATTTAAGACAGTTAACACTGATTCAACCTTTAGCAGCTGCAACATTAAAGTAGTGAACACAATAATGCATCAGTAATTACACTCTAATAATATAATACACAACGTGAACTGTGCCATTCAGCGTGATGACTACTTTTACTTTTGGTCCTTTAAGTATCTTTTAATGCTAATAACTTCTGACTTTAGTGCCACTTTGAATGCAGGGCTTTTACTTGTAACAGTATTTTTACACTGTGATAGTTCTGCTTGTACAGTAGAGGCCACAATGTGACTGAAAGTCCATGTCGGTTTCACCAGAGATGTTTATTTTTTTCTTGATTGAAACCATGAACTAGTAAAACAAAGTGAACAGGGAGGAAGCAGACAAATGCACAGATGTTCAGTTTAAACACAGTTTATTTTTCTGCTTAAATAATGACTTGGATCATCCAGTGTAGGCTATGTTGGTTTGTCATACATGTCGGTACCAGATTTAACACCAGCAATGGGTGGTTTTGTATGAAAAAAGGCAAAACAGATTTACACAGGTACAGAAAATCTGATTTTTAACAGCACATGATCAATACTGTGATCTATGCCTCAGCTGATATTAAAAAGGACTAGATTTGGATAATGGGGCTAAAAATGAGATTCTCTGTTCTCATGTAAATATGGCCAGTTAAATAAAGATATAAATCATCAGTCATTTCCCTTTATAAAACCACAGCAGAGCTAAAAGCCTAAACATACATGTCTAGTATGCACGCTGGCGTAGAGACCGTTTGATTTAATGGTACACACACAGGGCTGCTAGCAGTTTGGAGCTAATGGGCAGGTTACATTCAGTCCTGAAACGTAAGAATGAAGCTTTGTTATCTCATCGCTTTAGCGTGGAGAAGTGTTTTCATTTGTAAAAAAGAAACTGTTAGAGATGTTTGGGAGAGAACGAGTGCTCGCACAGACAGACATACCATCAGCGCCCCTCTAATTGGGTTACAGTGCTTTGAGTTAGGAGGAAAAAAGGAAAGCGTTAAAATAAAGTGACATCACATGCAGCAAAGTATCGTTTCTCTGAAGACGGCGTTCCACAGACAGAACTGTGTCCTTTGTTTAGAATCAAGCTGTTTAGAAAAAAATCTTCATTCGTTTCTCATTCACATACAGATTTTTTTGCTCCTGTTTAGATTCACTGGGAAGCGCACGTCAGGTCACACACTCCAGACTCGACCTTGCAGTACAAAGACACTGCAAAGCTCCATCAGCTCAAATCAGTGCATAAACAATCTGGAAAGCTACTTTTTATATATTTTTTTATATAACAATCACCCATTTCCGGTTGTTTTTAAAAAAAGAAGCCACAGGGCGCACCCCCAGCAGCGTGGGCGTCCTCCAGGAGCAAAAAGTAGACCACCTATGGCGAGTGTCAGAGAGTGAGTCGGGTCTTTGTGTCTGTCAGCAGGTTGCTTGTTTCCTGTTCATGCAGTCTTTGGTCAGAGACGACTCATGTTTGCTCCAGCTCATCTCCGTGTTGTTTCCCTCAGGGACCGGGTTTGGTGACATGCTCATGCGAAATAAAAAAAAATAACTTGTTTTGTGTTGTCTTGTTGAAAACCATGCACTGTAGGTGAAAGCTTCAGACACGCTGTGGCTCAATGGCGAGGCTCCTTCATTTTTCCTCCCAGGGTGTGCGTGGTGTCGCAGGGGGACGTCCGTGAACCTGGCGGGGGGAAGATCACAAATGTGCTAAAACCCATTGTCTACAACCAGCAGGTACTGGATTTTTGATACTGATATTTGGGAGTAGGGCTGCAACCAACATATATTCATTACTGATCTGCAGCTTATTTCCTCAATCAAGTTTGGTCTAAAAAGCATCAGAAATCTAATTGGTGAAAACTTCAACAAACATTTCACGTCCAATGACAATCTACTGTCACACAAGAAGGAAAAACAGCTGATTCTCTACTTTGAGGACTGGGAACATTTTCAATAATATTTGACTGGAAAACTAAATGACAACTCTATTTAAACAGTAAAAGGCCTTAGTGAGATTATAAATCTGTTTTACAGGAGTCTCCTGAACAAGACAGCAACAGGAGACAGAACATGCAATGTAAAGGTTATGAAACATGTAAGGCAGGCTAGTCTTAGATAAAAATAAAGAGAATAGCTATAGTAATATAATTATTAGAATTAATTACAATTTCCTCAACTGATTAAGTAGATGCTTGTTTCTATAAACCACAGTAGCATGTAAAACAATAGACAAGCTCAAAACTTTCACTGTACTAGAAGCTAACAGCCTGTTTTGAGAGGCTGGAACTGTAAAATCTTTGGTATTTTTTAAATATAATTTACTCAAATGATTAATGGTTAATGCTTTATTTTACAGGTCTGTAAATTACAGTTAATTTAAAGGTAATTTCTCAAGAGGTTTCCTGGAAGGAACCATATAATGTGGTGCTAATTACAGATACATTTAGAGAGTGATAGCTTCCAGTTATGTCTAAATGCTAACCTAGCACAAAACTGAGGGTCCCTCTAGAGGACACAAGGTGAACTACACATGCAGTGTTAGATTTGTCTACAAATAACCTTTCAATGCAGCATAAATGAAGAATGCCATTTAAAATAATTAATAAACAGTAAATATTAACTGAGGTTTACGATGTGTAATGTCTTTCACAATAAACTCAGCTCAGTGGACTAACTAAGAAAAAAAATCTCCCTATTTTTTAAGTTGCCAATTAACTTTCTGCTGGATGACTTATCGGTTAACGACCTACTCGCTGTGGCAGTACTGTTCAAGAACACTTCAAGTTTTAATCCTGTGTCCATGTGTCAACTGTTCATTTATCTCTTGTTACATGCTTACAGGAGAAACCTGGTGATTTTCTATGTTTTGGCTAATTTCCACAAATCCCACCCAGAAACAAAAAGCAACAATTTATGTGGTGCACCGTGTGTGAATCCAGAACCTGGTTTATCTTATCAGTCTCTGCTGTAGACCACGACCAGAAACTACTAAACACACCAGTGAGCCACACTGCTGTACTGGGCTACATGATTCTCCCTCAGGACTATGAAGCAAGCAGCTAGTGGAGCAGTGTAAACAGAGCTGAGATCAGTTGACTCTTACAGACACTGTAAACAATGACAGCCGTTCTCAGTCTTTGCAGCCATTTGCTGGAAAACAGATGAGCCTCACAGGAAGAAGTATGTCACCCCAGTGCAGTGGTGTGGTTTTAATAGGTTCTGGACAACAGTGGAGGTCTGCTGCACAGACCAGTAAGCTAAATGTGATTCTGGGTTCATACACATTACAGTGAACACACCACATGCATTGTTGCTTTTTATCTCTGTATGGGATTTGTGGAAATTAAAGGTACATTCTGCAAATATTCTTGTTGTAGAAATCTGTGCCAAAACCTGCCTTAATGTGGAGAGAATCCTCCTGTGACCCAGACTCACTGAACAACACTAGTAGCAGTGCAGAGACATTAGCTTCTCAAAGGTTTTGAGCAGGATTGACCTCTCTAACCAATCAAAGATGATCAATTATTTTTAATACAAACAGCCTTGAATCAGTAGCAAAATGCATTTATGTTTTTGCTGACTCATCCTGCACAGTTACATACAATTACTGAGTCGACCAATCCAACCAAACTAGTCCTTAGTGCACTAGTTGCCAAATTAATCTTAGTACTAAAGTACATTTTTAGAGTAAAATTGCAACCCTTTCCACCAATTTACAATGAGTTTATGAGTGGATAACAGTCTTACCAGGTGCAGGTGAGAGCTTAACTGTTAGGACTGACTCTTTTTCTCTTGTTTCTTGTTGGCATCATCTCCAGGCTGCGCAGACACAGAGCGAGGGAAACAGCGAGGTTTGTCAAGAGACAGACAGACATACAGAGGAGAAAGAGCAAAAAGTAAGTGTGATGATCAGGCTAAATATGACCCGTGTGTTAATGAAACAGCACTGAGCTCAGCTACTGAACATCAGGAGATCGCAGGCAGCGTGCTGGAAGAGAGACGAGGTTGTTAAAATTAGTACTTTTCTACATTTGCAAACCACACGTGCCTCCATCAGAGCATGTTAAAGTGGAGAAAACAGAAGTATTATTTGAAACACAGTTGACATTAGTAGTTCTTAGACCTATTCGGAGTTGAGGTTACTACTGACACACTGTAGCACTCAGCACAAAACAACCACTGCAAACTGCAACACATGCAAAAGGCATTACACTGCACCTCACCAACTTAAATCCATTTGTTCACACAAACATAACAGCAAACAGCTCAGATTAATGCTGAGATCAGACTACATGCCCTGATCCTATCGTCTCTCAGCTGAGTCATGGCAGGTAAACCAGTTTTCTTAACGAGCTCCTTGTTTCCTCTGCGGAAACAAAAACTTCAGCTAAAACTAGCTACAGTTTTGGATATTTTTTCTGTGCTCTTCTTAGTGGTTTAACTCAAATCTGATCAAACCACGCCCTCCGTGTCCTGATAGAGCATATTAACAGAGATTTAAAGAGTTAAATACCTAAAGTTTAACTGTTGCTTACTTAGTTGTGAATATTGACTGTTATAGAAGAATAACTCAGATCTGGAACCAAATTTTCTGGGGCTTTAGACCATCTCAGAACAAAAAAGTAAGTGTAGCCTGATCTCAGTATCACACTACACCGCAGTAGGATTAGCTAACCTACAGGAGAGCTTAGGGCCACTGTACAAAATTTGTGCTCTGACTTTAATCTCAGAATTGTGACTTTTTCCCCTTAAATTCAAACTTTCTCAGAAGTCTGACTTGAAACTGAGGGTACGTCCGAAATCGGCTACTTGCCTACTATGTAGTAGGCTAAAAAGTGTATGCGAGACAAGTAGTATATCCAAATTCATAGTATGGAAAGGGCCTTGAATATGAAACAATTGGCCCAAGCCAGACCTATGCTGGCCCCCAGACTGTTCCCTATATCCTCAACTTTCTTCAGCAGCCATGTTTTACCTGAGTTCTCAGCTGTTTTGTGCTGGACAGGTAACATACACTCTGCTGCGTTCTGCTGACAGCTGCAGACAGAAACTGTGCAGGCTGAAAACCTAACAATCAGCTACAAGCTGTGCAGACCTGAGCGCTATGAGGGTGTGGCTCTGGCCAATCCTGTCACATGACTGATTCTGTGTTTACATACAGTTACAGCTTCATGCATGCGCATTTAGGCCAGCAAAGTCCAGCTGACTACGTTAGGCGGCTGGTTTTAACAACCTCAGCGTTCCGACATGTGTTGGCCTTGTGGCCCTGCCGGTAGCGCTTCCCTTTCTTCTTGCCCTTCCCCCCTGTGGCTCCTGCTGCTGCTTTTGGTGAAGACGCAGCAGCGTCTGCTCCACCTGTTTCTACGCCACCAGCTCCTTCCTCTGTAACCTTTTCACCTTCGCTTTCCCTCCTGTCCCCGGAGTTGAACACCCGGCGTACCACCTTTCTGATCACCTGTAGGGGGCAGAAGCATGTCGGGGGAGAGGAAAGGAGGGAAGTATTTCTTGTGAGAAGAAATAATGGAAAAGAGGGTGAGGAGGATACATAGGAGTGTGTATGTGTGTGTGTGTATTAGTGTAAGAGATGCCATGTGACACAGCCAGTGTATTATTGTGTCTAAGAATGTGTTTATTCATCTGTGGGCAGCCTGGTGACACTGGTTTCAGATGACAGACTTTTGAGTTCTTTCAAAGCGCTCAGTTTTTCCATTTGAAATAAAGGGCTGGATAAAGACAGATTTTTCGATTAATTTCAGTTTTTGTTTGAACAGTTCAAAGGGCTGTACTCTAGAAACACGTGTTGCAGCATGATCTCAAATAAGAACAAAGACCTAGGAGAAAGGTTTATATTCACAGATTATTTTTTCAAATGAATCATCACAAATCAAATTGAATCGAGAGGCCAGTATTGATATCCGCCCTGATTAAAATGTAATGAGTCAGTGAGTGTAAGCTGCAGGACAGAGATGTGACCGGTGATGGATGAGGATGAGGGTGGTTACTTTTCTGGTGACCACATTCCCGTCTTCGTCTGTGAACTGCTCCTCCGTCACTGACTCTCCAGGAATGTTTCTGGCCTGCTCTCCCTGGGGGTTGAAATATGGGTGAAGGAGTGAGACAGGTATGGGAGACATGGGTGGGAAAAACTGAGGGGCTGAGGTGCAGGTTGGGAAGAGTTTTGAGATGTTATCTGTTAGACTGTTATTCAGAAAACAGAGCAACGTTTCCAGACATCAGCCTGCCTTCCACAGCTGCTGGGATTCCTAAAGGTTATGTAAATCCAAAACAAAGATTTGAACACCGCCCTGCATGCTAGATGCTTCATTCTTAAATACACTCAGATAGATAACACATATCCTAAAAAATGCCTATACTTATGTCCTAATCTGTGAAGGAAAGGGAAGGAAAGATTTTGGACACATTTATTCTACAGAAATGTGGAAGAATTAATGAGATACTGTACAATCATGTCAACTGCTGTTTCTAGGCAGAATCCAGCACTTCATGAGGACATGTCCAACAAACACAAACAAACACAAACAAACAAGCATTATCAAGCTCCACTATGATATGGCAGTGAATTCTTTCATGACATACCTACTGTATGTCATGCACAAGATTAATTTGGTCACACCTTATTTACCAATGTCAAAGGCCACACAGAGCTAAAAAATGAGGCTCAGTTTACACAGAGTATCTGAATTTTAGAGCTGCTTCACAAAATGTTCAGCAACAGTTTAGATTCATCAATGTGAATTAAAAAAACACCAAAAATTCTCTGGTTCAAGCTTCATAGCTGTGAATATTTACTGGTGTCATCAGTCTTCTACAGTTCTGAATATCTTTGGGGTTTGGTCAGACAAAACAAGACATCACTTTGGGCTCTTAGAAACAGGGATTTTACCCTTTTTGACATTTTATAGACCAAGCTATTAATTGATTAATCCAGAAAATCATCAGTAGGTTATTCAGTAATAAATCATATTGTTAATAATCTTATTTTGTACATTACAGTTACCCAGTTTGAATGGGTTAGCAAACATCTCAAGGTTTCATTGATTTCTTTGAGGATGTTCTGATAAGATACATGGATGCAATGACATTACTGTCTGTCACTTAACAAAAGGGGGTCAATATAATTAGAAAGCCAGCCTCAGATTTAACCCTACTGTAGCCAAACACACAGCACGTCCAATAGTCCAAATCCCACAAAGCACCGCTGATAAAATCGTGGCTCACACCAACAAGCAGTGAGCGGCACTTCATGCTACAGCCAAGCTCAACATTCACACACTCTCTGTAGTCAAGTTTCCATCCAACTGTAGTGCACAGTTTAGCTACATTTTCTTAAGTGAAAAATCTGCAAAAGAAAATGCAAAATAATGCTTCCATGTGAATATTAGGAGCTAGGTGACTCAACATAAACTGGTGGTGCTTATTCTTCAGTCAGGTGCCGTTAAACCACTGCAGATGCAACTCAACAGAACAGAAGTCAAATTTCAAATGATGATGGAAAGATGACAGATTTGTTTCCTGCAGTAATCTGCAGAAAACATCTTTCTTACTTCTTCATGTATGCCATGATTTATTCACTAGGTCTGTTTCCATTGCACTTAATTGCATTTTGTTTAAATCTACATGCAGTTTTCTGTGTATTACAAATTTTCTATGTGCAAACTGAAAACAGTTGGATGGAAACCTACCCTGATACGTTCTTGGTCTGTCACAATGCCTTTCTTTCACACAAAAACACACTCCTACTTTATAATACACACACCAGCAGGGCATGTCACTGTTGCTGAATCTTTCTATCACTGCGATTCACTCTTCTTCACACACTTATGCAGAGTCACAGCTTATGGGCTTATGGCTCAGTTGTCCACACACCACGCCTCACACACCTTGAGTATTACCCGTCTGCGGTACACCCTGGTGGTGACAGTGGTCTCCTCATCAGAGCCAGACTCGTCAACACTCCCCTGACAAAGGGAACATTAATGCCCCAGTGTGTTTGTGAAAGAGCGTGTATGTCAATAGCTTGTCTGCAATCATGTGAGACTTGGTCAACTCTCACCTGGACTTTGTGCTGGGACCTGTTCCCTGCCTCCTCCCGTCCTCTGCTTGGTCCCGCTGTGCTGCTGTCCTCCTGAGGTCCCTTCCTCATGGCCTCCTTTTCTTTTCTGTCCCTGGCTGCATCAGTGTGGCCTCCGTTCTGTCTGTTGGTCAGAGCTGGGGGCTGCTCCAGTGAATCACAGAGACTGTCAGGGCTGAGGAGTAACATTTGTTTATATTAACACTGAGCTGCTATGACAGTAAACTCTGGTGTGTAAATCTCTAAATAGAAAAACAAATCCCACCTGCCCTCCTCAGAGCCAGGGCTGTGGCCAGGGGCCGTCGACTCTACGACTGCGCCCGATGTTTCACTTCTCCAGCCTGGAACTGAACACACAACCTTTTCTGCTTGTCGTACTTGTTCGAGGATGTCTTTCACCCTCTCCTCTGTCATCTCCTCATCCTCCAAACCTCCCTCCATCCTGATATCCTCCAGCAGACTCTGCAGCCTCTCCTGGGTCATCTCCTCTTCTTCCTCTTCCTCTCTTCCATTCCCATGACCATTGTCTGAAGCAGCATCGTGTTTTTGGTTTCTTTCCAAAACAACACCTTGCCCTGCCTTCAGCTCTTCGGTCCCCTTTCCTGATTTCTCTACTGCTCTTCTGTCATTATCCGGCTGCTCATAACAAACCAGCCCCATCTTATCCTCCATTCTTTCTCCAGTGGTCAAGGCTGTATCTTCAGCTTCAACAATGGGGGGCTCCTGGACACAGGAGCCAGGGCCTGTGGCAACCGTGACTGGGTCACTGCTGGAGGTACTGGTGGTTTGAGTGAGAGAGAGGTCACTAGGCCTAGTAAGCGTGGTTTTACTAGGGAGGTCTACGCTAGCATTTCCCTCGCTAAAAAAGTAGTCAGAGCGCAGAGGAGTAGGGGGCTCGTAGTTCAGGTCTGAGGGGGTTTGCAGCTCCAGCTCTATATTGGGGTATCCTGGGTGGATGGCAGGAGTACAGGATTAGAGAATAAAGGGATTGAAGAGGGAGGGAAAGGAAAAAGAGGGGAGGAAAGGAGGGATGGAAGGAGAGGTAGAGTGGTGGAGGTGATGAAATGATAAACACCTATAACACTTAAGGGTAGCATTTGTTCAAAAGTCACACAGGTGTAAACCACATACACTGTAAAGTTGCACTGGCTGATTTTATTTATTTATTTTCTTGGCCACTTATGGGCAGTGAAGGCAAGATGTGAACACGACACCGACACATTATCACCCTATAAACTTAGATATAGCTGAAAGCCATGGTGACCTTGTTCGCAAACAGTTGCCTGTTTATACATCCAGCAGAGAGAAACACATTTACACTCATTTGAGTCATGTTTGTGTCCAACTAATGAATCTAGTTCCAATATTCTTCACCTGCCAGTCACTAACGTTGTCTGTCTGCTGTCTGGTTTTTGGTAGGAAGGGTCCAGTGTGTTTATGAGCGGTTTGTTCAATAAAAACTGCTGCCTCATATCAACTGGAATATAAGTTGCTTCAAGTGAATCTGGAGGCCAAAAAAACAAAAACAAAACAAAACAAAACTAAGAACTAAAAAAGCTAAAGTAGTAAAGCTATTTAGAGCTAAAGGGAACTCAGGAAGAGTCAGGTGATAAAGCTCAGCTATGTCACCAATATGAATCATCTCTGATAAACTCATTATAAGGAACCTGCCCAGTGTCAAACGACTGCCAGACACAGTGGACGACTAGCATAGTTGAGCATTTAGCAGAGATTTCTCCTGGAGTTGGTGGAGAGCAAACCAGAGCTACACGAAGAGTGAATTTTGGATTTACATTCATCAAGTGGCCAGAAACGTGACTTCAAATGAATGCTAATGTTGCTCCATGTCAACTTTTTGCTAACCCATTAGCCAGTTAACTTCACAAGATGAGGTTCACAGTGTTGTTCACAGCTTGTCCCACTGCCCTTAAGTGACCAGACCAAATCATTTAATACTGGTTTAAGGATTCTCCCTCTTCAACTAAGATTTTTCTATCACATGTGTGTGACCTCTAAACCAGTACTACAGAGTAAATGTGACCAGATCACAAGGAGATGGAGACAGAGAAATAAAAGTACAAAGACAGGATATAAAATGTAAGCTAGAAACGTCACATATACTATATTTATATGCAATTTACAGGAACGTTAAGTCACACTAATCACAGTACAGGTTATCAGGAACAAACTGACAAACACTTAACTTCAGGCCCAGACTCAGAGCTACTTCTGTATTTCAATCCAAATACAGAAGCGGTAAAATTTGTGAGGGGGTCATTATGACAACTTGAGTTCAGCTCATCTCAGTTTTGTCAGTTGATGAACAAAAGCTTTAGTAGAATTAAGGTTGATTAGTTGTGTAGAGTTAAACCACAGGCAGAGAGGAGCAGAGCAACCAAGAGGCATCTAAATGTAAACCTCAGGAACTGACCGATCTCGCCTGAAGTAAAGAGGAACACCAGGGGGGAGGGGAGAGGAGGGAGGGGAGGGGGGAAATGAGGAGGGAGAGGGAGTGTGGTGGTCTAAGGGTGGAGACGGGGAACAATGAGGTGAAGGTGAGGGAGACTGTTTTGAAAGAAGGGCAGAGGTCGAAGGAGAAGAAAAGGGAAGAAGTGTAGATGAGGAGGGACAAGAGGAGAAAGGAGGAGAAGACAGGGGAATGTAAACAGGAGAAGGTGACAGGGGAGGAGAGGAAGCACCAGATATGGAGATGGAGCTACAGGAAGGGGGAGGAGAATTAAGAGGTGGAGGAGGGTGAAGAACAAGAGGAATCGAGGATGAGGAAGAAGGCAAGGGCAGACAGAGGGAAGGTGGAGCAGAGAAATGAGGGATAAATGTAGGAGGAGAGAAGGACGAGGAGTTGCTAGAAGGACTTTGAGGGGAGGACTGAACAGGTGGGTGGTAAGGCAAACTAAAGAATGGAGGAAGGACAGGAGCAACGGGAAGGTCAGTGAGAGATGGGAAGTGAAAGACAGAGGCGGGAGAAAGGACAGCAGGAGTCGAGGGAAAATGGAAAAAGGTGGTACGGGTGGGATTAATGGGAAGAAAGGAAGAAGAGCTGGAAGAGGAAGGAGTGGCATGGAGAGGGGAGACCCACTGAAGTGTTTGAGGACAGAGGGGGAATGTAGGAGATCTGAGAAGTTTTGGAGCTTTTACAGTCATCACAGTTCACAAGAGATATAAAAGACAAAAAACAACTGTTAGGCACAAGACAAACAGATGAATGCACAGATAATGAAGTGAACTTGTGAGTGATGAAGGCTTGAGAAGCTGCAGAAGCGAAGACACTGCACACCAGAATCATGGGATTGCTTATCTCGGTTGATAAACAAGAACAGGCTTTTTAGTCTTTTCAAACAACTAGGAAAATGTCAGCTAGAGGACAGTAAAATAATACGGGAACAAAATTCACATTCTGGCTCTGTTGTTATTAGAGAAGGCTTTGGGCTCCTGGAGGGTCAAAGCTTGCTGAGCTGCAAATTAATGCTAGTAGAAGCAATCAGAAGAAGTAGGACTAGTTTCTGCTATGTCCCATTTCCATACTACATAACTAACTGTATACAGCATATACTATATGTGGTATTTTGTTCTAAAAGAATATGATGTACATACAGTACATTTACCAAAACAACCAGCTAGTCCTCCTCAAAGTTTTTTTTCGTCATGTAAAAGGCAAAAATATCATTTCAAAACACTTTGAGGAGAGTCTTGCATTTGTGCGATTTCTCTGAGTTTGGTTCTGAATGCGTCATCTTCTTCACTTCTTTCAAAGCACAAGTATGAGATTTATACTTTATTTTTCAGCTTAGTTTTTCAGGCTTCAGTCACGAAGTGGTTGCCTTGACAAATATACGACTGGTTAACCGAAGAGAAGGTCACAGCCGCTGCTTGTCAGAAAACGTTTTGAAGCTGTGTCACTACAACTGGGAATTTATTCTAATACTGTATATCAACAACAAACTCAAAGTGTTCACCACATATTTGAGTGTACTTGATTTGTTCCCTTTACAAGTGGAAACACATATTCTTGTTTGGAATAATCATGGAATTGGGACAAAGCTGAAATTCATCACTACCAGGGTTTCTGTTTGAGAAATACAAAATTCCTTTGTTTCACTGAAATGTTATGCTTTTGTCAGAAATAGTTAAATTTAGGTATGATGTCAAAAATAAAATCTAACTCAGCCTTAAAAAACACATTAGGGTTACAGCTGCTGAAAGGGTCTCATGATTGGGGATATGAAAATGCTAAAGCTCGCTAGTTAGCTGTTTGTGTTATCAGAGTGGTGCAGAAACAGACAAGAGAGAGATGCAGCTTTTGCACGACTTCTAAGTTCAAAGTGTGGGCTGTTAGTGCTGAAGGGGGTGCTGTTGTATTTCCAGTTTTACTCTAACTCAGCAGCGAGGGTAAGAGCAGAAGCTATGACTGGATCCAAAGAAGCCGTTGAAGTCAGCGAAAGGTAGGTATTGGTGGAAATTAGCTGGTAAGTTATGCTTAGCGCTGCACAGGGAAGTTGCTTTAAGAGTTAGTCACTTGGAAGCAAGAAGAGGAGGAGCAAGGAGGCAGCAGGGAGTCTCGCAGGTGGAACGCAGAGGCTGGGAGGCTCAGAGGAACCCAGGAGAGGACAGGTACAGCATCGCTAACAGCAGTGACACAGAAGCATAATTATACACTGTACACTTTGAAAAAAGATGTTTCATTTTCAACTCATGTGCGAGTGTCGTCTGGGGCAGAGCGCATCCTGATCACTGTGCACAATGCAGAAACACTCGTGAATGTGTTGAAAAGGCTCCACCCATTTGAAGAGTGTTAAAAGTGTATTGTTGTATGCCAACAACATCAGAGCAGGCAGACTGTCACACAAAGCCACAGCCATGCATTTTGTTGATATTAAGTCAGTTAAATGTTGATTTTACTTTAGGTCATCTTTGCTCCAGTTTTCAATAGCAAAACCTGGTGCTAGTATGACTTTCAAAACTGGACAGATTAGCAATGTGAGCCATTTCAGAACTTTGTCTCAAGAGCTTCTCTTTATTTGCTTGTGACTGTTTTCTTACATACATAGTACTACAGTGAAAACTTTCTGTTACAATTTAGTTGAAAACCTTTCTTTAGTGTTATGATGCAGTTCATACACAGACCTAATGGAAGTGGTTCTAAGAAAATGCCAAGAAAACAGCTGATGCCAACAAAAGTATTCAGGCAAAAAAGGCCAAAGTTGTGTGCACATCCAACGCAAACTGGGCACAGGTGCAGGACAATAACAGCTTGGAAGAAAAGAGAAAAAATGTCCACACACTGAACCAAGATACTAGAAGAATAAATTTATTAGATAACATTTTGACCAGCATGATCTTCATCAGGCAAATAATCACAAAGCTACAGTACACACAGACTGTATATATAGGAAATCACACCTCCACCCACAATTAAGAAGTCACATGATATAGCTTTGTGCCTTTGTCTTATACCATGCGACTTCTTAATTGTGGGTGGAGGTGTGATTTCCTATATATACAGTCTGTGTACCTGATGAAGACCATCTCGACCACCATATCGAAACGTAGCATTATACATTTATTCTTATAGTATTTTTGTTCAGTGGAAGACGTATTCAGCTCATTCAGACAAAGTAACAGTAAAAATGATTAATATAAAAATACTCTATTGTAAGTGTAAGTCTTTCTTTCTGAGTGAGAAGCATTAAGAGCTAGTGTACATCTCCCTTCAATCCAGGGTGTCTCAGTCTGAAAACCCATTTTACCAGGCTAACTGTTTAATACCTTCTAAGATATATTTCAGAATAATGAAGATAATAATAATTATCTGTAACAAAGGACACACTGTCATCAAAGTTCTGAAATGGCACTCACTGGGTCTTTCACAGTCTGAGAATCTAGAAGCTGCCACATTTAATTCTCATTTGAGAGGAAAGAGAGAGACAGAAAGAGAAAGCCTCGCCACAATGCTTAAAGCAAGCCTGCCATTATTATTGGTAATTGGTGGTTATGTTTTTATGTATTTTAGTAACACTTGAAAGAGTCAACAAAAAGATGTTTTTGGAGACTTAAAATCTTATGTATGTTAAGCGACATACACATAAACATAACTATTGTAAAACCAAATTATGAACCAGTGCCTAGACCCAGCTGAAAAATGTGCTTCACTCGTTACCTTATCAATACATTTATCAGATGGGAACAGAGACACCAGTCCATTAGAGGCTTATATCTGCTTCAGAATCATGCTTCTTACATTTGACAAAAACAGTCACACATACTAAAATGTCTCATGCACCCAAAATGGCACAGATTGTCCTACATTTAATTAAAACATATAATGTTTAAAAATGGGGGAACAAATTTTAGAGGTTCTCAAATATATAGATAATCATCCTACAGTGCTGATTGGGGTGACTGTTTAATAAAGATGACAAATGCCTAAGTCATTTTGGTTAACTAATTAATTTCCAGCCGGTCAAGCCTGATTGGTTGTTTTTATTTACACAGTCAGATCTGACTATTTGGCTGAGAGAGGAGGTGAAGAAGGGTGAAGGGATAGACTGAGAGATAGACTGAGAGTTCAGCTAGGGTGGGCTACACTTTACCATCGGACTGATCCGGGAATACTGCGTTATCATCGGCAAAGCAGCGTGTGCCTGAAATGTTACCGTAGTCAAATATGGGCCCTTCCAGCAAAGTCACAATATCCAACCGATTGATCTTAGTCAGCACCGCAGTTAAAGCATCCGCTAGAGTGAGACAGAGAAACATATGTCATATGTTAACACCACAAACGTGATTCATTTTGTTCAGAAAATAGCAACAGAAATGTGTATATACAGTATGTGAATGTGAAGGAAAAGGAGACCTGAATTTGATCTACAGCCACCAGTTCTCTCCCACACAGACACACACACACACAACTTACTTGTGGCATTTTTACCGTCCCTGTGAACCCATTTCTTTAGGAGCATGAAGCTCTGTGCTGTCAGGGAATTGGGGTTCTCCACTCTGATGAAGTTGATCTCTTCCACAGAGAAATCCAGCTCCCTGGCCAGCTCTGTAGCAGCAACAAACACCACAAAACCAAAATAAGGTATTTTAGTAGTTAGTTGACTGGCTAACAATGTAGGGATTAGGAGTCTCATTTCTGGTGATTTCACTGACAACAAGGTACTGTGAGTCATCATCCATCAAGCAGTGGTGGAAAGTATCCAAGTACACTTACTTAAGCACTGTACTTAAGTACAAATTCAACGTATTATTTCAATTTAATGCAATTTTATGCTTCTACTCTACTACAAACTACAGACCCTGAAATTAGGAGATTTTGAACATTTATTTTTCTGATAATCTGATGAATTTTTCCTTCATTGGTCAAATTAATTCTCCTGCATATTCAACTAAACAATATTTTAAAACCTTGGATAAGTGAAACTGCATCATCCCTAAACTGAGAACCGGGCTGGTACACACACACACAACTGATGCATTTCTGTAGATGAAGCGCCCCACAGATGATAAAGCAGGTTAAATTAGCACAGCCTTAAACAACTACAGCAGTAAAGTTCAACATACACATAAATCCACCAGTAGTATTAATCCATGTAACAGTAAAACACTGACAGAGACCATTTTCTGCACAATGAGAACTTGTGATACTTGAAGTGGTATTTTACTGATAGGTACTTTTACTTAAGGAAGGCTTTCAATGCAGGACTTCTGTGTATTATTGCTACTTTTACTTAAAGACTCTCTCCACTCAAAAATATATTTTTTTCTTATTGTACTATACCCCATAAATATCAGCCGTCCACTATACTAGCTGTTGTACTGTAGGTGCATAGCTTGTTACTAACAAGGTGTTTTAACATTCCTCTGGTGAATGGGGCATGATCTGTTTGTTCCCAAAAATGGGAGTTTGAAAGAGGCTTGGGCAGACTGAATTTCTGAGGCCACAAATTCACACAGCTAAATTTGGTTCCGGGCTTTGGTAAAAACCTAAAACCTCTGGTCTCAGGTGCCTGAACTGTTCACCACCAGGAAGTAAAAGTTGCATCTGTCCCGGACCCCGGAGCTTCCTTACACTATTTATATAATTGTTATTTAGCTAATACAATGAGATGGTATGAAACAAGTACCATTATTAACAGCTAGCTATGGTTTTGGCTTCTGGTAGCAGCCCGAGTGCTACGGTTAGCCAGCTGTTAATAACACAATCTCCCTGAAAAGAATGAAGAGAAAGGGACATCCTATCAAACGTTATGAGATTGTATGAAATATGTGACTATTTACTGGTGTTTAATAACTAAGCTATATTTGGCTCACTGTGAAAGCTAACTGTTAGCATGCACACTAATGATGAGGAGCAAATGTTTAATGTTAAAATGTTAGAACTTTAAGTAAAGGATCTGAATACCATCAAGTAGCATATTCTGTGCTCAGAATTGAAAAAGCAAGAGAAAGTACAAAAATGCCTCAACTCAGTTATTCATGTATCTGAAGACAAGCGCTTTCTTCACACAGAATTTGGTGCAAACAAATCATAATCAATTGGGAAATATAAACATGTGTGGCAATGCAGAAAATCGGTAGTGGTAATTACCTGGAAAGGTTTTATGAAAGACTGACATCTTAATTCAAATTTGAGGTTTGCAGAAATTACAGCACACATCAAATGACATTCACTCATTAGTTCTCATTACTAGCATCACTTGATTTTTTTATGAAAAAGATGATGGGAAATTATCTGATGAAACTGTAGTGCTAAAACTTCACCATGATTGGAGTCAACGCTTTAAGTTTTACTTCCTTAGTGCTCATTCGTCAAGCACTGTGCCACCTACAGTCAAAAGTTAATGGAGTGAAATGCTGCCTGTACAGACAAGCAAACGGGCTGTAACTCTTAGAGAACACAATGTTCAGCAAATCTACAGCTCTGCAACAGGAACACTCATTAAATATGGATTTGATTGCTTTCCTCTACCGAGTTCTCACTCAGTCACTGTGCTGGTTGCACAGCTACGCCACTACAACTATTCACACACACAATTTACAGGATGACTGTGCACATGCAATTACAGTGCACTCACACATGCACACACAGGCACACCCAATGACACACATGCAAGCGGCCATGGGGCAGTGCTGCAGTGCAGGCAGTCAGGCTTAAACTGCAAAGGCTACGCCCTCACTGCTGCTCAAGTACAACAAAAAATAAAACAAACATGCACCTCTGTCTCATAAATACACCCAAACACAAAGATGTGTGCCACAGAAGAACATAAACACACTGCTACACAAGCCTGTTACCATACATGTATTACTGTCTACATTGTTCAGCCCCAGCTCCTGTGTCCCAACATGACGTGAATATTTTTTTATGTAAACTTACAGCACATTTTGAGTTTTTATAATTTGTGTTCTTTGATATTGTATTGCATTTGTATTGATGATGATGTATGTGAAAAAATGGCAATGCAGTACTACTTAGTCAAGATATTTGTACAGTATATTACATGTCCACCAGATGGCAACAAACACTGTAAAACTGCTGGGTTAAAGGCTGGGCTCGGTCCAGGTGATTCATTCACATGTGGGTTTTCTTTAAAATCAGCGATTACTATCACAAGTGCATGAGTCTGAGTCACAGGTTGGATATTAAACTGATTTAACTAAAACACAGCAGCTGTTTCTCCCTGCTGTGTCACTTACCATTGTAAAAACAGTATTCTTATACTGATCATGCTTGTTTTGGGGTGTGTTTTGGTCTGTGTGCATACACTCACCAGTCCAACTGAGTCCAAGATGGTCAGCTACTATTGCCATGCGGAGGTCTGTTCTCTCACAGGGACTCTGAGGGCCTGTGCGAGGAAGTAGGGAAGCGCAGGGCACAGACAATTAACATATGATACTACTAACAACTATCCCAGAATCATAAAAATGGTTGCAGAGAGGAGCAAAGACATTTAATGTATGAAACAAGACAGGGATTGTGAACTGAAAGTTCGTCTGTTTTGAACTGGTTTAACCAAAGGACCTAGTTAATGATTAAACTCAGTTGTGGAATTTTGGTAAATGGTCTTATACTTGTATAGCACCTTTCTATGCTTTTACAGCACATTCAAAGCGCTCTCACATTATTCGGCCATTCACCCATTCGCACTCCCAAATTCACACACCGGTGACATCACCGGGAGCAACTGGGGGTTGAAGTGTCTCAAGGACACCTTGACATGTTGACTGGACAAGCCAGGAATCGAACCGCTAATCCTCCGGTTAGGAAACGACCCGCTCTACCTCCCGAGCCACAGCCGCCTCCATATTGCCCACCCCAATTTTCTGATGTGTTATTTATATTAAATCCAGTAGTGTTGGTAACTAAACAAAGAAAGACCAACTTTAGCTCACTGTCCCATGTTGCTTTTCTGTCCAGATTCTCCTCAGTGATTTAGAACAGTTTGACATTTTGGAAAATATACTTTTTGTTGAAAGTTAGATGAGAAGATAGATGCTGATCTCATGTCTCGTTTGTTCAGTATGAAGCTGGAGCCAGGAAACAGTGGAAAAAAAAGAAAAAGAACTGAAGTACCAGTAGGGCTACATGATGAATCGTTTTGTGATTGTGACTGAGATCCCTGTGTGATCTCGGTCTCATGTGACAATGATTCTGCCATGTTTGCATTAACAGGGAGATGCCTTGCATCAATCCAAGCGCTCCCTTTTCCTTGCTAAGCTACATTAACCAATAGCAGGAAT